AGTGCCACGACGAGAGAGAACACGCGAGAACATTTTCTACGAAAGGGCAGGCATTGCGGGTGCCGTTGACAAGGAAAAATGGCAGCAGTATCAGGGGCCAGAGAGTGGCTTTCGCGCCCCTATCACGCACTTTCGAGTCACGACACTGCCACGGTTCCTGTTCTTTGAGACCCTACAGCTATATTCACCGTAAGAGTTGCTCGAATAAACTATTCGTGGGGTGTAAAGGCAACGAGCACCATAAAGTGGCCCTGCAACAAGGAAATATGAGCACCAGTGGAAGCAGTAATCTGCGGCGATAAGACGAAGTGTGGCTTTTTTGCGGTGAAAGGGACTACAAGTTGCAACGCACTTTCGGTTCAGACGTTATAGAGAGCAGCCTTCTCCGAAATCGTCCCACTCTCCAACGTAGCCATTGGAATTTGCGGTGTCCTCATCATAGCGTTCGGGTTCCATTCCACAAGTGCATTTCTATCCATGTAGCCGTACCATACCTCTCTGTCCTGTCTCCTGCCACATTCTATTGGAACACCCTCACCAAAATGTTCGGCATCTAAACATCTAATGGAATCCGTAAACTTATCTAGAATCAAGGGGGAGAATTAGAGTCCCACTTTTCTCGTCTTGACAGTTTTCTGACCCCTCCGCTTTATTTTGCACCTCTGATTCCATATTTAGCCACTATCAGATCAGAGCGTTGTCTCACTCACTGTACTCTCTGTAAGCGAGCATATGGAACCTAACATTTGTATTCCTGATTAAAACACTGTTCATCGTATAAGAAAGGTGATCGATCTCCTACTTAGTAGTAGGAGTACTAACTCATACAATGAAAAGTTAAATTGATCAAGGTCGGGCTTATTAGTCTCAGTGCCACGCATTCGACTGCCATTCAGAATAGCAATAGCGTTTATTAGTACATATTCAACCGCAGCACTGAGCTGTTGATTGGCACAAGTATGTAAAGGTCCTGCACTCAGGGTTTACCGTGCGTTGCGCAGTCCTCAACGAGGGGGACGTATTTGAATTTTTTTCTCTGAAGGAGGTCTTTTCTTTGGGGTTGGTGAAGGTCAAAATGTTGAAAGTGGAGTCGTATTTGTGGAAGTCGGAAGAGTCGCGGTGGCGGTAGCAGCCAGGGGTTTGGACGAATTTTTATAAATTTATATGGAAAAATTGCATAAGTAAGCATGATTAGGCACGAAATGGTTAAAGGAATCTTCCACGGAAAAAGCTCCGCCCTCATTACCACAGAAAACGATACCTTAAAGGAATCTTCCACGGAAAGAGTGATCATTTTGTCTTGTGTGTAGGATTAGTATTATCGAAACTAACGCTTATGTTCCGTTCTTTTTGCTATGCTCATGAGGCTAGGGGCCTAAGGGGTATCGTTTTTCTGTGGTAATGGAGGCGGAGCTTTTTCCGCGGAAGATTCCTTTAAAAAGGATTTTCGTTACGATGTCGCTCCCGTAAGCCGTTTTGAAAGAAAAAGGAGGGCGGTGTCATCGGTATGTGAGGGAGTCGATCGGGACTTCCCTAAGGCTGATGGTGGAGGATTGCGTTGAACAGAGAGTGGATTGTCAAATTTTCAGTATTGGAACAAGGTACGGTTGACCGGGCCTGCACATTATTTCATTGGCTCTTGTTCATCTCCACAGTCATGCGAGTAGTAACTTCTTAAAGCGCTTTGTTAGCGTCTGTACCTAATAAAGCTTCTTCAGTTTGTCGTGTTTCGACGACTGCTGCTGTAACAAATGGTAGTGGTACAATGTATATCGCCTGGAAGATGTTTTAATGAAAGCTACAATTTTGTTTTTAGGCAGGATCGGCAACAGTGTGCATGCCACATGTGTGTTGGCTTGCACAGTGCTTCATGAAACCGCCGCCGCAAACGCTCTTGGCTCCATCAAGGTACCTTTTAGCTACTTCTCGCTTTACTACTTACCCACGCTGTATTTGCTCTCAAGTTATTTGCTGAATTTCTGAAGGTTGCGCCGTACATTCGGCCGCTAACGATCCCCACGCGATATCTTATGGCTGCTGAATGGTGGGCGTCATGTAAATAAATAGGTGGACATAGAAGCAATCATTGAATCGGCTCTATACTTTTTGTGGTCCTTGACGTAAAGATCGCTGATATTAGTAAGTATCAATTAGTGCCTTGAGGTGTTGCCGCATTTAGGGCAGCACTTAGTGCTGTCGTTCATTGTCCGTTAGGGTCCACGGATAGCTTGCCTTGACCCTGACTGATCGTAGTTCCGAAAGATTCTGTTACCTCTTACCCGTATCCTTCCGCTTTGCCCTCCCCCTCCTACTTATTCACTGGGATGCTTCTAGAATGGCGTGAAGGGTTCAGCATTTGAAGCAGCGATTTCGACGTGGGTCCATAATCAAGAAAGAAAATGGGGGAAATCATCCGTGTGTCACCTTCTCCACCACATTCCCAGCCGATGCTATCATTTTCACCGAAGTAATAGATTGACTTACATTGGATAACGGTAATCATTTAGCGGTGGCTTGCTTAGCTCTAGAGCTCAGGGGGTGAAGCTAGAAGGAGTGGATGAGGATTGGAGATGGCCTTCTAATTTTTATTATATTTATTTTCCTATACTTTATGAGGAATTCCCCCTCAAAATACTGAAGCTCATTTGCAGACTTTGCCTTCACCGTAACTTGTATGTCTTGTCTCTCAAAACGCATCATTATTAAATTAATTTCCGACTTTTTTGTCTTCGTCGTAGATATCTGACTCCTACCACCCAGAGGCGATCTTGACCACCTTCAAACGATATTTCTATAGAGCCTAGTGATGACTGCCTCCGAAAATCGCTTCAATAAGTCTCCTGACCTAGCCATCTAGTTCTTGACAGATTCAGAGAAAATTGTAGGAAATAAGGTTTGTCGATGTCAAGGAAACGATCGAGCAGGAGATCGCCACCCAAATGAAGGCGAGATTTGGTGAGTTCTTATTCTTTTGTCGAACGACATTTGAATTATTTTGGTTTTTCTACCTAAGCGTTAACGGCTAGATTTCAGGGACATCTGGTGATGATGAGGCGGGGACGGCAGGGCATGGCGAAGGAATATGGAAATATGCAAAACGAGCCGAAGAGGTTGGATTTCCTATTTCATGTGCCGTCCATTCACTAAGCACAGTACCTTCGGAAACAAAGGAAATTTTGCGATGTGGAAATCAGAGTTGCATGTAAACTGTGGAAGCAATAGCCTAGTTAGCGTTTTAGCAGTGGGATCTTTGTTGGGATTTCCGAACCAGGTTGAGCCATTGCGCTGGAAAACTTTGGGATCAGCACAACTTTTCACTCCTGTGTCCACAGAGGGAGAAGGATGTTACTATTGAAATGACAAGTGGGTTTATCTACCAAACATGGATCCTTTTCGCCTTCCGATGATCACAAATAGGACCTTCTCATGGGATATTGCGACACGAGTCGTGAACACTGTTCTAAATAAGAGGGGAGCCTCCATCGGCCTCAGTTCGTCTTGCATTAGATTATATGGAAATACACAAATACGGCGTTTCAAGGTTTCAACTGCACAGAATTTGCTCAAAGCTTCTCATGGCTAAATAAGATGTGGCCTGAGAAGTAGATTTCAATATTTCTGTCCATCTTATTTGTTCATGTAGAAAGCCTGATTCAACTTTTTACCCTTCCTTTATCGTTTGTTAAAACCCATGGAAAACAGTGGTTTTGAGCTTTTCTTCCATTC